TGGAAACCCAGCCATCGTGGGAGTGGCCAGTGGTAGCAAACACATCAGCCCTCAGCCTCCTAATGTCGAGCTACAATAGAAACTGGAAACTTCTGGGGCCAAGTCTATGGCCTAGTGGTTAAGATGGCTGGATTCCCCGGGACTGACTGCATGGTTTGAGGTCTCGATCCAGCAACTTGAAAAATATTGAGTATGTGTGGGTGTGTGGCCACAGCCTCAACAAGGTAGAGAAATGCAGGAGAAGGGATCGTGGTATGAGCATGGTTGAAATTGTTTTGCATTTAACACTTTGAATATATTTCCCCATTCTTTCCTTGCTTTTATTGTTTCCGATGAGAGGTCCAGTGTTAGCCTGATGGGATAGCCTTTGTAAGTGATTTGATGTTTCTCTCTTGCCAATCTTAGTATCTTCTGTTTGTCTGTCGTTTTGGTCAATCTACTTGTAATGTGACGTGGAGAGGATCTTGGATTGATTCTACTTGGGGTTCTTTGTATTTCTTGGGTCTGGATGTTTGAGTGCCTCTCTTGACTTGGAATGTTTTCTTCTAGGATTTCGTGGAATAGATTATCAATGTCCTTATTAGTTTCTTCACCTTCTGGGATACCAATTATTCCTATGTTTGGGCATTCCATGGTATCTAGTATTTCTCGTGTATTATCCTCAATTTTCTTGGCTGTTTTCTCAGTATTTCTGATCATTTTTTCTAGGAGATTGGTTTTGTCTTCTACTTCCAAAATTCAATCTTCTGTATGGTCTAGCCTGCTTTTGATACTTTCGAGGGAGGTTTTAATTCCCTGTATTATAGCCTTCCTGTCTAACAGTTCCGTTTGATTCTTTTTTATGGTGTCCAATTCTTCTTTCATATCGTGGAAGGACTTCCTTATCTCTTAGAGCTCAACATCTCTTTTTCTCTTGCATCTCACAGAATTTTGTTACCATAAATGTTCTAAATTCTTTTTCTGACATTTCAGTAATATGTTCTAAATTTTTCCTACTTGGAGACAGTTTACATTGTTCCCTCAGTGGGGAGGTACTACTTGGTTCTCTCAATCTTGAGGGTCTCTTTCGATTTTTAGTCATTTGGTAATATGTTCACTTTGTTAGAGAGGGATTTGGTGACCGTAAACTCGTGTATTTCCCCCACTGTGAAATAATTCGGTGCTATTTTCTCCCTTCTACTAAGTCCTCAAATGTGGGAACACAGGTGGAGTTTTGCAATCGGATTTGTGAAGGGGAATTTCACTAATTTTGCAACCCCTACAGTGATGTGCAAAGAGATTCCCAGAACTCGCAATGCTCGGATGGTTAGCTCCTATGCACCTAAACATCTCTGTCAGGCTGGCTGGAGCCCACTACCGCCGTTGCCAAGCGTGCATGGAGAGCCTGCTCTGTGGGTGTGGCCCTGGTCTTCCGCATGCAGGTCCCAGAGCTATGCCTTAACTCCCGGGCTGGGTTGGCTGTTGAAGGAGGCCGTCCTCTGTCCCCTAGTCTCTGGGGGCTCCCAAACTCCAGCACCCTCGGTTCTCTTCAGAAGAGTCTCACCTGTGGCAGGTGTGTTCGGAAAGCTGAGGTTCGTGCTCTCCTGGGAGCACCTGGTGCTACTAGTTTTCCTTCTTGTCACTCGTGGGCATCCACCATCCCGTGGAGTCCTGGCTTGTCTCTAGCCCTGCTAATAATGCAGAACTGCTCCTGGCCTGGTGTTGGGTCTGTCCCCTGAGCATACCCAGGTATTGAGGTGGGTGGGGTCCCTTTTTTTCAGCCAGTGTGTGCCATCACCTGGCCTCGAAAATACCCTTTACCCTTCATGCTGTCCAGGCTGCTTTTGTTTATGACACGTAATTTGTGGTGATTGCAAAAAGTTGTTTTCTTTATGCTTAGTATAACTAGTTAATTCACTCATAATGCCTTTACCTGGATCATCCACGGTAGGCATTTCAGCACTTTCTCCTTATCTCTGTAAATTTCCTGTGAGTCTCAGCTCTGCAAACCATGCCCATTCTTTTTTTTTTTTTTTTTCGGAGAAGTTTTTTGCTATAGGGCACGTGCGCTCGCCAGACAGACAGAGAGAGACATAGAGACAGAAAGCGAGAAATCACCCCCCAGGGGGGATGGTCACGCCGCAATCCCTTCTCCTCCATTCTCCTCTCGGGATCTTGGGCACGCACGCACACGCGCCCGGCGTGAGTTTTAAGCCACCGGGTCCGGGACGTGAACCACGGTCAACTACGTGGGAGTCCAGCGACATAGCCATTACGCTAACTGCTGGTTCCTGCCATGTCCATTCTTACATAGCTGAGCTTTGACTTGTATAAACAGTTTTAGGTTTTGTACTTTCCATCTGACACTCCCTTATAAGCATCGTCTTGTAGAAGCCCGCGTGCTGTTCCCTAGTGGATGGTTCATAATTCCTCTGGCTCCTTTTCCAGCAACGGACCGTGGCCACTCCCATTTCTCTGCTGTTGTAAACAGTGCTGTTGTGAACATCTTCACGCACACCTCGAAGTCTCTGAAGAG